GCACATAGATAAATATCATTTATTTTATTTATGTATTTTTTTATAAAAATGATTTTAATAATTATCTAAAAATAATCTCTTTAGTGAACATAATATTGAAAACCCCTTCAACACTTTTGGGAAGATTGGATAATTATTTTCTAGATTTATTGCTACAATACTGTTGATTGATTTTGTTAATGGAAGGAATCTGATATATCGGTAAGGTAAAGACGGGTTGATTGCGAGAGTAGTCGACCTTCCCTTTTTTATTATTATTAATTTTCTTTTATTTTTTTTATTTTCTATTTGTATTTTTTTTATCATTTTTATTTATTTTTTGTTATTTATCTTTTTATATTTTTGCTTTTTTGTATTTTATTCAATAGGGCTTGTGGCCAAGGCCCAAATAGGTCTATAATTTTGAGAGCCTTGAAACCAGTTAATGAGTTGGGGTTTAGGCCTAATAAGTTAGGTCCCAAGCCCACTGTACAAATATAGCCCAAAATCAAGTCAAAACAAACTTTAAAAAAAAAAAAAAACAAAAACAAACAAATAAATAAACAATTAAGTAGGGTATATTATTTCGGATTCTCGGACAAATTGTGGTGTTTAAGGAGATCATGTGGCTACCTTATATGAGGAATGCTATACTTTCATATTGTTTAAAGGAGTCCTAGTCTTGGGTACTAAAAAAGAGATAGATATTTGGTGTAAAAGGAGAAGTATGAAGATAAGTCAACCATCAATAGAAGATTTATTATTGAAATAAAAAATATGGTAAAAAAATTAGATATCATAAAGAAATGAAATTAACATATCCCAATGATAAAAAAAAACAACGTAATAAAAGCAATGATAAATATTAAAAATAGAGAGAAAATTAGGGAAAAGAAAAACATACATGAAGAAAACTAAGAAAGAAAAGAACAAAGAGAGAAAATCAAAATAAGAAATATGGTAAAAAAATCAAAGATCTAAAAACCAAAATCGATGAACTCGGTGTGATCGATGGTGAGTTATGGTTGGCCATAGGCAATACCAAGATGCGTTTCTCCAAGCGTGAGTTCTACTTGGTGACAAGACTAAAGTTTAGCCCCATGTCGAATGTTATCTTATGTCCTTATGGGCCATCCTTGGAGGAATTCACTAGAGATGTTAGGGAGTGGAGAATTGGGTGAAGCTCCAAGATGTGTTAGATAAGGTTGAGAAAGTTTGGTTTGATCAAGACGAAAACGCAATAAAGATGGCCCAAATCTTGATTGTGAATAATATTTTATTTGGACAAGATTATAGAAGATTGGTGATTTTGTGGTTATTGTCGCTGGTCAAGAATATCAACGAATGGAAATGGGTTCCTATGGGGTACCTATATGTGGAGTCTGATTATAGACTACATATCGAGAGGTTTCCAAGTTCCCCCAATAGAGACATCTTAGAAGAAATGCTACCATTTATATGGATTTGTATAGGCGTTACAAGTAGTGTGCCCTAAGATTTTCCATTTTCCTTTTCACATAAGATTTTACTATGTGATTATAATATTTATAATTGACTGGTAATTTTGGGTGTTGGAGGGCATTCTTGCTATCCAAAGATAATTTGGATCTCATTGTGAGTCTGAAGATGCTTGTCCACTAATACTGAGATGGCATTGCAAGGAGAGGCCCATAGGTTTCCATAAGATCATTGCAGATTCGGAGAGTGAAGACAAGGTGAAGAGCGAAATGATACTATTTTTGTTTTTAATAATTAGGTGATTATAATATTTATAATTGACTTGCAATTCTAATTTATAATTGATTATAATATTTATATATTTTTTATTTTTTATTAGGTGATTTTAATATTTATAATTGACTTGTAGTTTTAGGCGTCAGAGGGTATTCTTGCCATCCAAAGCTACTTTGGATCTTATTGCTAGTTTGAAGACGCTTATCCACGATTGCTTAGATGGCATTGCAAGAAGAGGCCCATAGGTTTCCACAAGATCATTGCAAACTTGGAGAGTCCTAGGAGGTTTTAAAAAAAATTATCTAATAATTTTCTTAAAATTCCATCATTGGAGAATTCCTATTTTTTTTATTTTTTGCTTTATTTATTTATTCTTAGTTTTTTTAAGTAGATAAAAAATAAATAAAAATTGATATTAAAATCTCTCTCAAATTCCAACACTTATGCAAGAATTTAA